GCTGATGGTGAAGTGTGGTGGGCAGGTCGTGAAGAGGATGAGCAGGAGGTCTGCCGTTAGCCTCCTGTTGTACACTTCTGTTAAAATATTATGATTGACAGACAAGAAAACATTGAAACTGTGTGTTATAGAGTGTGATGTCAGCAGAGAGGCTGAGACCTTTGACCTTTGCAGCATTTATAGAGAATTATTCTGTTTTTGTTCTTGAAATGAAGGCAGTAAATATAAGCTGGCATTCTTTGTGCTGCAGGAGGGAGAGGGAAGGATGGAGCCCCCATCATCACTTTCCCGGAGTACTCAGGCTTTAGTGAAGTACCAGAGGAAGATTTCCTGAATGTCGTTACCTACCTGACCAGTATCCCCAGGTATGTATGGAAACACATGAAAAAAGGAAGCAAACAAATAAAGCTTTTGACTTTCAGTCTGTCTTCACAGATTCCGAGGTTTTACTCTGAATTTCTACAGCAGAAATTATTGGGATTGAAACAAAAACACTCAGAATCATAAAACATCTGCAGCATTGTCCGGCAGATGTTGAAGGACCTCAGCAGCCTCAGAAAACAGAGACGCTCTTGTCCTTCCTCTAGAGGGCATCCGTGTTATTTTAGTCCAGTCCAGTTTATTGTCCAAGGGTCCCCATAAGTATTTATAATCTGTGGACCGAAATGCTTGTTTTCCTTGTAATGCTAAAGATCATTTCTTTTTGCTCTCAGTTTGCAGCGTTTTGATAAAATAATAACACTTTACTTTCCGATGCTTCCCTTGTCCCCAGCTTGGATGCTGCAAGCATCGGCTTCATCATCATCATTGATCGGAGGAAGGATAAATGGAGTTCAGTGAAGGCCTCTCTGTCCCGGATCGCCGTGAGTTCTCCAAATAAGTCACCTTAAATTTCTCTGTGGCAGCAGTTGCATTTCCAGACAGATTTACTGATTTCATTTTCCGTTAAAATGGGGTCAAATGTTGAAGAAAAGAAAGAAAGTGCGATAAACAACTAGAAAAGCACTCAGAGACGTAAACCTCCACCAAGTATCTGGTTTTCCTGACAAATTGAGATTCCCACCTTAAGTTATTTCCTGTATTCACAGAATCTTTGCAAAAATTTCCAGATCCAGATGTTGAATCGGATCATCACCAAAACATAATCTATTACGCCAGTGATATTGCAGACCTTCTCTGGAGATTTTAGCAAAATCTCTCCATAAAATTTTAGATATTTTCAAAAAAACAGATCAGCAGGCAAAAACCAACACAGATAAAAACATGACCTCCTTGGCAGAAATAAAAATAATGGATTAAACTGTCAGAGACGTCGATAGAGAGTCAATTTTAGGACATCCTCGGGTTTCTGGAAAAAAAGGAAACTGAAATCAGTAAAAAATCAATAAAAAATGGAAAATTGTACCAGGAACCAACAGGAACCATTGGGAACCATCCGGAAGCATCATGCTTAAGATGTGTTATGTGATGCCTGCTTTTAAAAACTTCTTTTAGTTCTTTCTTCCTTCTAATTCCTTTGATCTTTTTCCTGAGGCATTAGGATGTCCTAAAGTTTCCACCACACTTAAGGCTTATTTATTAGAATTTAATAAGGAAAACAAGTTTCTGATTAAAAGAGAAAGCCAAAAGTAAATGAAAGGTAACTTCAGCCACAGAGATGTTCTCTGCTTTCGGCCAATGAATGTGGACGTAGTTTTCTTCATTGTCACTGACGCAGACTGGCCTGTTTCATCCCTAAAGAGAAATGAAGAAAGACGGGAACATTCCCTGATGAAGTCAGAAACCATGAAGCGTCTCTGAGGAATTAAATACAATAAAAGTTCTGTCACTTTGATTTCATTTAACTCATCAGGTGTCTTTTTTGTTCATGTTCCTAAATTTTGCACAAACCTAATTATTAAAAGGCAGGAAAAGATGTAACAGCTCTGGGAACTTCCTTTAAAGCAGAGATTAAAGGTGTTATTCTTGCTTTTTTAGGTTCTTCCTCAGCACAGCGATCGCTGACCGGTGTCTTGTTGTTTCTTTAGGGTGCGTTTCCAGGAAACCTTCAGCTGGTGCTGGTGCTGAGGCCATCCAGATTCTTTCAGAGGACAATAGCAGATATTGGAATAAAACTCCACAAAGATGACTTCAAAATGAAGGTACAGAGGAGCCGCTTTCAGTCAACGAATGATTTACTATTAGGCTAAAAACTTTCCATCAACTTTCATACTTAGAGCAAAGATTCTCTGCTATAACCTTAAACAGTTGCAGATTTTTCTTTAAAATGTTTCATTTTTTACCTAAAATAGATGAATGGCTGCATTTTTCTATTTCTGTCAGGACTTTAAAGAAACTCTATTATAAACATTTGTTCCAAAGTTGGCCAGAACTTTTCCAAAATTATTTTTCCACCTCAAAAAACTGAATCACTGAAAAGTAGTATCTATTGTAAGGCTCCCTCTAAATATGACCCATTTTAATCTAAATGTACCGTTAGGAAATATATCAACAAAATAAACAGAAAATAAGCGGAAAAAAATGTCTAAAAACAAAATCACAAAAGCAATAAACCTTTATAATCCCATTTCCTGGTAGCAGGCAATACATCAGTGTAGAAAGGTTAGCGCTGCCAAATATTCTCCTGTTGGGAAGGAAGCTTCAATAGATCTTGGTTCTGGTCAGACGGAGTCCTGCGCCTCTTCTTCCTGAGGGCTAACAGTGGAAAAACTAAACACCTGAAAACATCCTGAAATATACTTAACAAAGAGAAACTAAGGGTTAATGATAGCATCACCGGGGAAGCCCATTGGCTAACGGGATTTTAATGGATAACATTTCCTGAAGAGCTACGGTGACTTCCACTTTTACACTCTCAACCTATGAACATTGAAGAAGCAGTAAATATGCCTTCTGCTTAAGAGCTAAAACTTATTCAAGAAAAAAGATTTTAAAAAGTCTTGTAACCTTTTAAGTTATTTAAGACTTTATGTTCTGGAGGAGTGAGAATCTTCACCAACACACAGAAAAGCAAGAACATTCTGCTTTTCTTCTACAGCTAAAGGAACCAAAACAGATAAAAGCTGGACCAGATTTAACTTTAAAAAGATAAATCTGGACAGACAATGAAAAAAGATGCAATGAAACCAGCAGCCGATAAACATATAACATGGATATAACATAATGTCAAGCAGAAAACATAGAACTAGACATGTCAGAGAGAACATTAGTAGCTTCAACTCTGTACTTGCTAATCCTATGACTCATGATAGTCTTAATTCATTCAGATTCAGATTATTTTTTTCTTAAAAAACATTGATATTTATATAATATTGATATAAATTGGTATCAATCAGCTCAATGTTTAAATTACAGACTTTTTCAGTCTTGGAAGTTTAAAGATAATAAACTTCATAGTAGAACGCTGGACTCTGTTATGAACTTTTAATGCTGCTGTGATATTTTATCAGCAGATTATGAAAATATGATTAACTTGAACTGCAAGTTGTTTGTTAATTAAAAGGTCATTTAAAATCGAGGGAAATATCAATTGAATGTTAAGAGGGGCAACAGTGGCGACGGGTGCAGCAGTCTGCCCTGCAAACTGTTGCTGGTTCAAGCCCCAGCTCGGCTTTCAGTGTCAATTTGTCCTCGGGCAAGACACTTCACCAGCATTGCCTACTGTGGTGGTCAGATGGTGGCGCCAGCGTACGGCAGCCTGGCGTCTATCAGTGAGCCCCAGGGTAGCTGTGGCTACAATGCAGCTCACCACCATCAGTTTATGAATGAATGATTTAATGTAAAGTTCCTGAATTTAAAAGTGCTATAAAAGTTACAGACAATTTACCATTTAGTTGAATAATTATTATAACTCTAATCCACTTACTCACCAGGATTCTTGGTCTTTTCCATCCAAAGTTAGACTCCTGGACCGGCTGGTTTAGACTGTGGCTATCAGCAGAGTTAATAATCACCAACCAAAGAAAACTGCTCATTCAAATGTTACCAAGAGGAAAGTGAGTCTGAACTCAGTGATAAATCATTCGTTGCACAATAAACATAAACTACTACGGGTTAAAATTATGTCTTTATTTCTAACAATCAAGGATTATGGGAAACTTTAACATCCATGCAAAAACTGCACAAGAAAATAAACATGAGGTAGATTAAAAGAATAATTTGGAAGGAAGCAAAAAGTTTCTAAAAGTGCGTTTAAACGGCTCTCGATTATTTTACAATGGTTAATGGTTCACATTAACTATACAGCATTGTAGCACGTCGGCTAGCCTACGTACATCTAAAACCCAGCTAGGGGAGCTTTATTAAGGCAACGAGCCATAAAATGGCCGCCCCCCTACCATGGTCAAAGGAGGTGGAGTAACAGCGCTGAAAGAAGCGTTATGGCTAAATTTAACCCCACAAATCTCAGGACAATAGGTTTTGAAAACTCAGAAAATAGCTGCCCCTACAATGCAGTCGCACGAGGCGTAAGACGTCTTACAATTCTCTCAGTTCACTTCTAACACGCTAATTTCAGCACAAAAGGAAACAGGAAATCAAAATGAACGCAATAGCAGGTGGTCACACGACATTCATTCATACCATAAGTTCTGGTAGATTAAAGGAACCCGACACCCGCCTAAGCTAAGCCTCGCCTAAGCTAAGCACCTTGACTGAGCATCCGATGGGATATTGAGAGGGTTTTACTGAGTCGGCTCTGGGTGGAAGAAGGGGGGGGGGGCTCTAAAACTTAATGGTAACTTATGGCTTAGTCAAAAAAACAACAAAAAACACGCTGCAACGCCGGCTTCTCACAACGAGGATCCCTGTTGGGTCGTTGCAGGACAGTTGGTTAACCAATGGCTGCGTCTGCACGTGTCCGTCTTAAAGAGACGTGTCCTGAATTTGGCTGACCGTGTTTGCCCTAAAGACTATTATCCTTCCAGCAGTGTTTGTGTCACAGTATAGGTTATAATCCTTCTCTTTTAGGTGGTTATGCTGAACTCCCTGGCAGATCTTCATGGGTATGTGGATAAAAGTCAACTGACCCAGGAATTTGGAGGTAGTCTGGAATACTCTCACAGCCAGTGGATCCACCACAGAACTGTGAGTCAGAACTGATTGGTAACACTGAGCTAAGGACACTTTGTCATGACTCTGAACTTTCTGCTTCTGTTTAAGTTTTCTTTTTTACTGTTATACTTTGAATCATGTCTTTCTGTGTTTTCTAGTTTATTGGTTTTATTTCCATTTGTTTTATTCTAGTTATTTTGCATTGTTTGATGTCTTAGGTATTGTTTGCCCTCTGCTGCCCTCTTGTGTCAGTCTCTTTTCTCCTAGCTCCCTTCTAGACTCCTCTGTCCACACCTGCTCCCAATCTGCTGATTAGCCTGCTCTTTGTTCAGTCTCCCCTTTACTTACCTCATGTTCAGTCACTGTTTGCTGGATCCCTGTTGTTGTTTTGTGCTTTTGTTTTGCTCCGTCATTTCCTGGCTCCTCATGTCTGTTTTCAGTATTTTAGATTTTTTGATTTTTGACCTGACAAGCTTAGCCTTTAAGGAATACTGTCAGTTTCTTTACTTTTATTACCGTATGAAACAAAAAAAGCCCCCTAATCATTCCTGAAAATGTTTGTATTTTCATGCAATTGACAGATACATGAAGGTTCTTCTTTTGGTTCCACTCATGAAATCCAAGATGGCTGCCGATAAGGCACATTGAGCTGTAAATAAATCTGGAATATCATCAAATGTTATGAAAAGAACTTGAAATCCAAAGTTTATGTTGAGTTCTTGAGTAAGTAAAGTTATGGGATCAAGTTTTATCTTTTGGGACGTTTTCAGCACTTTCCAATGTCTAATCCTAATCACCAGCAGTACTGCGTAGATTGACATCATTATTATTATTAAATAACCAAATAAGGAAACTGCAGCTAAGTTTGCAGAAGACATGATGAAGAGAAAAAGTCAAACAAGCAAGAAAACTGAAGGTTATAGTTATAAAATAAATGATGATCTCACAAAGAGAAGTTAGGAGATTATAAGAAAATCAAGAATCATAAAAAAGAAGATGAACATTAAAGACAGAAAATGTAAAATAAAGAAACAACTGAATGTAAAGCAGGACAGGTGGAAGTTCTGCTCATCAGAACTGGATCAATTTAAATAAACTGATGATCACAGTTCAGATGTCATAACTATATTTTCTCTATTTTATTGGATAAATTAAATTTAAAATTTCTCTCTAGAAATTAAATTTCAACTGATCCATTGTTTATTTTATTTATTTTTTTACAGTGTCCTGTCTGGCAATGTGGCAATAAGAATAATTGTCTAGTTTAGTTTAGTTTAGTTTATTTAGGATCCCCATTAGCTGTAGCAAGCTACAGCTATTCTTCCTGGGGTCCAACAACAAAACATGAAATAAAAAAAAAATTACAAATGAAATAAAATTATGTGGACATTAAAACAACATTTCCCATAATCTATACATATACATATATACATACACACATATACAGATACATATATACATATACATATATACCCATATACATAAACAGAAACAATCCAAACTAATCAAAACAAACTACAAAGCACAGCAAGTGAAGAAGACAGTCCTAATCATGTTTTACCTCTATATTTAATAAATGTTCTTTCAATGATTTTTTAAATTTCCTTAAATCAGTTATCAGTTTAATGTAATTCGGCAGTAAATTCCATGCTTTCATACCTCTATACATAACAGTTCTTTTTAGGGCATTTGACTTTACTTTAGGCAAACTAAAGTTTCCTTCAGTCGCATGCCTAGTCCTGTATTCGTGATTTTCTGAACTAAAAGTAAGGTTTGTAAATAACATATAAGGTGTTTTTAATACAGATATGTTTCTAATCATAACAGTCAATGAGTATGAAAGTCTGTCTTTAACCAACAACCAGTTTAATTTTTTATGCATTGTTATGATATTTGTCCTTAAATCACACTTCAATATTATTCGGGCAGCTCTATTTTGTACATGTTGTAGTTTATTTAGCATCTCTCCTGGGGCATTTGACCAGACGACTGGGCAGTAATCCATATGAGAAAAAATCAATGATTGGATTATCATTTTAAGAATATGTGGGGACATAAAGGTTGCATGTCTTCTTATGACTGTGATTCCTCTACCCATCTTTGCAATCATGTTATTAATATGTTTTCTCCATAATAACGTGTTATCCACCGTCACTCCCAGAAGCTTGGACTCATGCACATTCCTTATCGAGACGTTATTGATATTAATATTCAATATATGATTACTGTTTACGTTGTAATTTGACCTCACAATCATGCTGTTAGTTTTTGCTGTATTCAATACCAGCTTATTTGCTTTCACCCATTTATCCACTCCCACTAGTTCGTTATTCATAATAATTTCTAATTCATTATTTGTTCTTGCTGATGTATATATAGTGGAATCATCTGCATACATAATTATTTTAGTTCTTTTGAGTATGTATGGTAAGTCATTAGTAAATATTGAAAATAATAAAGGACCCAGGCAGCTCCCTTGAGGTACACCACATGTTACAGTTTGTTTTTCAGAAAATGCACCATTAAAATATACCGTTTGTGACCGGTTAGTTAAATAACTGTAAAACCAAGTAAGTGCAGATTGTTCAAAACCATAGCAGGAAAGTTTTTCTAATAGCAGATCGTGGTCAATTAAATCAAAAGCAGCTGAAAAATCTAGAAACACAACTCCCACCATATCTTTCATTTCAATACTCCTAAGCCAGTCATCAGACATACTAATTAGTGCTGTTGCTGTAGAATGAGCCTTTCTATAAGCATGTTGAGAGTGACAAATTATGTTATTAATCGACAGATAATTATTAATTTGTTCATATACTATGGTCTCTGTTATTTTTCCTAACACAGGTAGTAGACTTATCGGACGACTATTTGACCTGGAAAAGGGCAGTTTCTTATTTTTCTGTAATGGGATTATTTTGGCTGTTTTCCAGGCTTGTGGACACACTGAAGACATAAAACTTAAATTAATAATGTGAGTAATTACAGGAGCGATTTCATCAGCAACCAATTTGAGAAGTCTGACATCCAGTTCATCAACACCCGGTGGTTTATCTTTGCACTTTTTCAGGCAATCCTTTACCCTCTGCAAGTTAACCATTTCTAATTTAAACTTGGACCTTTTCCCTTTCATTATTTCATTTCTTATTAATAAGTGAGATATTTCATTACTTAGGTTAGGCATATTTTCTCTTAGTTTTGCTATTTTACTAATGAAATAATTATTTAAATAATTAGCAATTTCTCTAGATCCAGTTATGAAGCCATCATTTGTCTCAAGGAATAATGGATGCGTTCTATTTTTCCTACCTGTCAAATCATTAACTATCTTCCACATTTTTTTGCAATCATTCCCCGCCTTCTTTACTCTATCTTCATAATAATTCTTTTTTTTCTTTTTATTTAGCTTGGTCACAGCGTTTCTTGTTTTCCTATAGAGGCACCAGTCTTCCTTATTCCCAGTTATAATTGCAGTTTTTTTCATTTGTTCTCTCATTTTCATAGCTTCTTTCATTTCTTTGTCCAGCCAGGGTGTTTTCGATGTTCTGACGGTAAACCTTCTCAAAGGTGCATGTTTCTCAATCACAGGTAGAAATAAATCATCAAACTTTGACAGTGCAAGCTCAGGATTTCTTTCAGTCAACACTTTAGACCAACATATTTCTCTCACATTGTCAACAAAAGAATAAGGATTGAAAGATGCATATGATCTCTTAAAAATTATTGTAGGTCCTTGCCTATCTACCTTATTGTTTTTTTCTACTATAATCAGATTATGGTCACTGCTTCCAATTGGGACCGATGATATCTTGTTAACTGTTTCTGGAGAGTTTGTAAAAATGTGATCAATACATGTAGCTGTTTTAGTACCATCTTGTTTTACACATATTCTTGTTGGCTTATTCATAATTTGATCAAATCCACCTGCATTAGCTCCAATTTGTATCTTATTCTTCAGTGGACAGTTATGAGCAAACCAGTCAATGTTAAAATCTCCAAGTAAATAGACATCCAGACTCACATTCATATTAGCTAACATTTCACAGATTGTGTCAAGATATTCATTGTTAGAACTTGGAGGTCTGTAACAGTAGCCTACTACTATAGGCTTTCTGTGAGGAAAATAAACTTGTAACCATAATATTTCAATATTATATTTCATCATGTCAGTACACATTTTTACAGGTAAATGATCTTGAATGTAAAAAGCTACTCCACCACCATATTTATTTCTATCGTTTCTATAAATGTTGTAACCCTTTATATGTAATTCACTATCTTCAAAGGAGGAGTCTAAATGAGTCTCAGAAATAGCAAGTATCTTTAGCTTATGTTCTTCTAACAATTCAGCTATATCATTTGTTTTGTTTCTTAGACTGTTTATATTTATATGTGCAATAGTTAGTCCACTTTTTAGTCGCTTGTGTTGGGATGTCATTGCCATATATTTTAAGAAGCAGTCCTGTAAGCATATTTCCGTTTATTTATCCTATCTTGGGGTGCTGGTACGAGGTCGGATTATCAGTTTGTCGTGTCTGAGGTAAGCTATTTCACCCTTCTCACGTGCAGCTTTCAGTTTTGGCATGAGTTCCTTTCTTTTTAACCTTACAGCATCTGTGTAGTCCTCATTGATGAATATTCTAGTACCTTTCAGATTTTTTGCTCTCTGCATTACTGCAGTTTTGTCTTTGAAGTGCAAAAACTTTACCACAATGGATCTAGGTCTTTCCCTATCTGGTTCAGGTTTTCCTATGCGGTATGCTCGTTCAATATCAATCTCCCTTTGTAGTTGCAACTTCTGCTTTAGAATTTCTTTAACTTTTTCCTCTGATTCTACCCAAGATTCACCCGGGGTCTCAGGTATCCCATCAATGACCACATTATTTCTTCTCGATAAACCTTCCAGGTACTCTTGTTTATCCACAATTACCTGTAAGCTTTCACATATCTTGATTATGTCTGTCTGGATTGAATTACCATGATGCCAAAAAGAGCCCAACAGATTTAACTTTCACAGCAATCTCCCACTGAGTGGTGAAGACAGTGTGCAGAGGGTGGATGGCATTGTCCATAATGTCCAGCAGTGTCCTTGTCTCTACCACATGTCTCCCCTGTTGGAACAGCTGCAGAATGCTTTGAAATCACATGTTCTTGTTTTTCCTCAGGCTATAGAAAACTTTGCCCTGACTGTGAAGACTACAGCGCAGATGCTGCAGAGGTTTGGCACAGAGCTGGCAGAGACAGAGCTTCCCAATGACGTCCAGAGCACCAAAGACCTGCTTTCAGCGCACACTGAGAAACACAATAACCTGAAGGTAAGGGAGAGCTGTCAACCATCCTTCTTTATAGCATAGCAGGAGTGCAAGCAGAAGAATAAGGGAGGTTAACATGCAGGGAGATGCCTGCCTGAGTAACATGAAGTAACAGGTACAGAACCTGCAGCTTTATTGTCTCCAGACTTCAGCAAAATGTTGTCAAATCTGATCTTCAGAGGATTTTTTGGGTCTTTTTTCTGATTTCTGTATCAGAGTTCAGGGTTAGCAAAAGCTTAAGGAGAAGAAGTCATCAATGGAAAGCAGAAAACACGATCTATGGCCAGGGAGGGAAAAGACGCCTTTCTCACCTGTGCAACTTCTAATATTAATGAATAAAGTTCAAGCATCACAGAGACCGGTCACTGTGTGAGTGGGATGACACAGAGAGCAGAATGTATCCAGGTGAAACCATCAGTCAATGAGCAGCTCAGCAGGGAACCTTTGCATTTATAAAGTGCAGCAGTGATCAGAATGTAAACAGTGTGGGAGAGACGTGGTGCAAAAGGCATGGGGGGGGGGTGGCCTAGTGGTCAGGGCATAGAGCTTGAATCCTGAGGTTCTGAGTTTGAGTCCCACTCCCACAGACTGCCACTCTGAGTCCCTGAGCCAGACCCTTAACCCCACACTGCTCCCCGGGCGCCACACTGTGGCAGCCCACTGCTCCCCAAGGGGAGGGGTTAAATGCAGAGAATTCATTTCGTTGCGCTGTGCTTGTGACAGCAGGATGACAATAAAGTTGAATTCTATTCTTCTATTGATGGAGAAGGCTCAGAGCAGTGCAAAATAAATAAATAGATTTGGTGCAGAAATGCAGTAGAAACACTGAGTTGAGTTCTATTTAAAGGGATTTGAAAATTCACCATAAAGTGCAAATATGATGTTTATGATAAATATGATATCAATGAAATTTGAGCCATATTTTACTAAGACCAAACCGGGGAAGATCAAAAAATTGTTGAGTAAAGTAATTTCATCTTCAGACTCCTTCTCTAAATGAGTTTTCTGACCTTTTCCTCGGGTCAGAGCTTTGCTCATGTAGAACAGTCAACAAATCCTGCTACCAAACAGTTGTTTACAGACTGACTTAGGTTAGACTCCAGATAAATGAGTCTGGCTTTTTAAAAATCTACAATAAACAGGGATTTACCCTCCATTTACACCCAGTTCTCACTTATTCCAGGTCCAGGTGTAAAATGTTTTATAAACTGCTCTTATTGATGCTTTGAATTCTTTCTTCTAAAACAGGAAGAACTGAAACTAGCTTTAAGACAAGGCAACACCTTGTTTGCCTGCATCAAGGATCAGGCGGCAAAGTCAGAGGATCACAGACTCAACCCTGATGAGTTGGAGAACCAAACCACGGTAGAAAGGTAACTCAGAAAAGTTTTATTTCTCAAAATAAGAGGCTTTTCCCTTCATCTGAGCAGGTTGTCTTATTTCAGGTGCATAGTATATAATAAGCCTGTTTTAAGGGCAAATGTACTTATTCCATTGACATCCTATTTACCTGCTCAAATTAAGGGCAGGTGTACAAATATAGCAAGTTATTAGTTGTTTTTAGATCAGTATTTGAAGTGCAGGGCCCTTGTTTTCTAGGCTGCTGGCCCAGCTCGATGAGACGGAGAACGCATTTGAACAGTTCTGGTCTAAGCATCATCTGAAGCTGGAGCAGTGCCTGCAGCTGCGCCACTTTGAACACGACTTCAGAGAGGTATAAGCTCTGTTAGCATGGTAGCCTTCATTCCTGCACACTCATGGGACACATTCAGATGGGGATAATGTCCCCCCCCATGCATGAAGCTGGTGCTGAACTGGACAGCTCCTTCAGTGACAGACTGCTGCACCTTAAATGCACCAGGGAGCGTTATCACAGATCCTTCCTCCCAGCAGATGGAAGACTCTAGAACCACCACTGTTCCCAGTAACCTCAACCAGTTCTGATTCTGCTCAGTTTCTACCTCAGTCAGTTAAATAACCTGCTGCTGTCATTCTGCACATCTCTGATGTTGCTGCTATTTTCAAATTACTGTAAAAATGTCCACAGCTATTTATTGGTTATTTTTTGAAAAGGTCCACCGTTTAATATTGTTAAAACACTTTACAGTACAGTATTTTATTTATTTATTTTTTTAACTCTATTATGTTAGTTTTTATACATTTTTCTAGGTCCACATTTGTATGACCATTTTTTCTGTAATTTTTTTTGCTGCTGAAAACACCAGAATTTCCCAATTCTGGGACAATAAGGAGTTTCTATTCTATTCACACTTTTTCTTTCTTTTACTGAAAAATATATTTAGAATAGCCTTTTTATTTGCTCTTTAACAACTAAAATTTTTTGATGAGCAAACTGACTCCTATGCTCTACTTAAGCATCTATAAACCTGTAGCCTATTTTCCCTGATTGTATTTTGTGTCAGAAGTCAAACCTCTTCAAAATATAAAAAAAAATAAATCGGAACAGTCCAGGATATCAGGAACTACGGTAGACTAAAAACTCGCTCTCTCCTCTGGGCCAAGACAGGACCAGAGGAAACTCAGTGGATAAGAAGCAGAACATGATCAGGAAAACAGGAACTCGATGAAGCACTAAAATATTCTCTCACCACAAAACGAGAACCTGATCTATGACATCATCAATGATCTCAAAGTCAATCATCTGGCCCTGATAGCTGGACTGAGCCATATAAAAAGAAGCAGGAGCAGGTGGATTAGATGAATGGTAACTGGAAACCAGAGTTAGGCAGGTGAAAGAAAAGAGCATTAGGATTTGACAGGTTTGGAGTCTCTGGGATGGAAGAGTTGGTGAGATCCTTGGTGTCCGTATTTCCCGTGGGGCAGGAGAGCAATATCAGGGTAGGACTGTAAAGATGGCGGCGGAGGCTCAGTCCAGAGACAACAGATGCGCAGGAGCTCAGCTGCGGTAAACTGGATTAACCCAGGAAGGATAAGAGGCAGCATGAAGATCCAGATTATTATGGTCCAGGTTAAAATCTGTAGAGGCCACATTATTGGCAGCAGAAATAAAAATATTATGAATATAAAGTATATTCTAAGGGTTAAAGCCCCTCTGATACTGTTTAAGTGTCTGAGTCTATCAGCAGATTCAACATGGCGGACACTCACCTGCAGCATAGACAGACCCCGCCCATCGAGGCGTCTAGATTATAATGTCTATAGGCGTAACCACACTATAGTGCCCTATAGGGGGGGTCTGGGCAGACGTTGGAATGCTTGGAAGCCTTTCTCTACTATTTTTTTAAGGTAAAATGCAATTCTTTATATATAACATACAACATTTGTGGGTTGTTTATTTTAGAGTTTCATATAATTCTTGGTCTTATTGATCTTTTATGGGTTTTCTTTGTGCCTCTGTTTTAAGTATTGCTTGAGTAAAAATGAGACTTTTCTTTTTTGTGTTTTTTTTCTTCAGATTAAAGTGTCTCTGGATCACCTGATGGACTCTCTAAGAAATGTACCGGATGCTGGGGATTGTGTGGCCAGAGTGGAGCATCTGCTGAAAGAGATTAAAGCTCTTGAGGAAAACGCTCAGGTCTGTTAACCCACTCATGATAAGCATAATGGCCCCTTAAAGGCACATAATCTGGAGAAATTGCCCCCCACGCTTCCAGAAGCAGCTCCCACAGGTTGGATTGGTTGGATGGGCACTTCTTGCGTTCCATACGGTCAGGCTGCTCCCACAACAGCTCAATGGGGTTCAGATCTGGTGACTGCGCTGGCCACTCCATTACCCATAGAATACCAGCTGCCTGCTTCTGCTCTAAATAGTTCTGCACAATTTGGAGGTGTGTTTAGGGTCATTGTCCTGTTGTAGGATGAAATTGGCTCCAATCCAGCGCTGTCCACTGGGTATGGCATGGCATTGCAAAATGGAGTGATAGCCTTCCTTATTCAGAATCCCTTTTACCCAGTACAAATCTCCCACCTTACCAGCACCAAAGCAACCCCAGACCATCACATTACCTCCACCATGCTTAACAGATGGCGTCAGGCATTCTTCCAGCATCTTTTCATTTGTTCTGCGTCTCACAAACGTTCTTCTTTGTGATCCAAACACCTCAAACTTGGATTCATCCATCCACAACACTTTTTTCCAGTCTTCCTCTGTCCAATGTCTGTGTTCTTTTGCCCATCTTAATCTTTTCTCTTATTGGCCAGTCTCAGATATGGCTTTTTCTTTGCCTCTCTGCCCTGAAGCCCAGAATCCTGCAGCCGCCTTTTCACTGTAGATGTTGACACTGGTGTTTTGCGGGTACTATTTAATGAAGATGCCAGTTGGGGACCTGTGAGGCGTCTGTTTCTAAAACTAGAGACTCTAATGTACTTATCTTCTTGCTCAGTTGTGCAACGCGGCCTCCCACTTCTTTTTCTACTCTAGTTAGAGCCTGTTTGTGCTGTCCTCTGAAGGGAGTAGTACACACCGTTCTAGGAAATCTTCAATTTCTTAGCAATTTCTCACATGGAATAGCCTTCATTTCTAAGAACAAGAATAGACTGTGGAGTTTCAGATGAAAGTTCTCTTTTTCTGGCCATTTTGAGCGTTTAATTGACCCCACAAATGTGATGCTCCAGAAACTCAATCTGCTCAAAGGAAGGTCAGTTCTGTAGCTTCTGTAACGAGCTAAACTGTTTTCAGATGTGTGAACATGATTGCACAAGGGTTTTCTAATCATCAATTAGCCTTCTGAGCCAATGAGCAAACACATTGTACCATTAGAACACTGGAGTTGCTGGAAATTGGCCTCTATACACCTATGTAGATATTGCACCAAAAACCAGACATTTGCAGCTAGAATAGTCATTTACCACATTAGAAATGGATAGTGTATTTCTTAAAAGTTAAGACTAGTGATGGGCAAGTGAAGCCTCATGAAGCAATGAAGCTTTCCAACGCAAAGTGTTGAAAAAAGTTCATTACTCGATGCTTCATTCATCACTCACTAGTGACATCTGCTGGTGAAACTGTAACAGCCTTGTTACTCAGTTGGATCATACTTCCAAATATTAGGAAATGCAATATTGTCACAAAGTTTTCATCAAACTCATGTTTAGTAAGAGGAGAATCCTATTCAATTGTCATGTTTTAATGATTAAAATGATTTGTAGCCAATCTAATCCTTGACCATCAGTGGTGGTGTTAGGTTTTCTTTTATGTCATGGACTTATTAGACAATGAAGATATGTGTTACTTTAATGTATTGAGAACTGAGTGACTGTTGCTGCAGACTCTGTGTACTTTGAGCTTGAAACTTGCTTCCTTAAAGACAGAATTTGTTTAAAATCCTCTCTTCCTAGGAGTTCTAGTTCTGATTCTTAATATTAAGTTGCACATAGAGTTTGCCTCTTCTAATGGCTTTTAGTCTGGTTTTGATGTGTGATTCTGATGCATCTCCTGATTAAACAAAAGAAAATATAGAAATTTCTGGATTTTAGGTTTAATTGTTTTTATTTAGGAATAGGACTTTTTTCACAGTTTCAGGTTGTGATCTGTCATCTCATAATACTCCCACATATGAGAGGTTTTTCTCTTTTTTGACGGCTCCATTACAACCACTGCTGATGAAAACTGTTCTGCTGATACCAAACCACCTACTACAACCCACAAAGCAACAGGATTCATCGCGCTTTTATTTTGAAAACCGACACGCAAACTGAAGCAGTCACGTGATCAATGCAATGCGAGGCCTCGTTTGTTGCCAGTCACGTGGTTTTCAACAAGACAACACAGGCCTCGAAGCGGGGCTTCATTGACACGCCCCCTTATTACTCGGTACAAGCCTCGAAGCCTGGCTTCAGATAGCCCACCACTAGTTAAGACTAGTTTAAAGTTATCTTCATTGAAAAGTACAGAGCTTTTCATTCAAAAATAAGGACATTTCAAAGTGACCCCAAACTGTTGAACGGTAGTGTATATATTCTTTGGTTCTAAACCAAAGAATATGTAAATTGAAACATTTAAAGCTCACTTTATTCATAGGTCCAGCCTTTTGTGAAAACAAAGATAATATATTTTAATGATTAAATATTATTTAAAAAAGTGGATACTAATATTTCTGTCAAAACTTGTATTTTCCTCAGCCAACAGTGGAAAAGGCGCAGCTGCATGCCATGCACGGCGATCAGCTCATCCAAAGCAACCACTATGCGGTGGACTCCATCCGCCCTAAATGTGTGGAGCTCCGGAGAGTCTGTGATGACTTCAGCAACGAGGCCAGGAAGAAGTCGGATGTCTTGTCTAAATCCCTGCACATACATACAGGCGTTGAGAAGGTAACAACAGGAGGGGTTAAAGCAGATTGGAAAAATTTGACAGTTTGAAAATATAAAGCTGCTTTGCGTCCAGCTTTTCTTGGTTGGTTGCTTTAAATGGTTGAAATATTGATTTCCTGTAATTTTGCATTAAAAACAAGCAGCAGGACAAACCAGGTTTATTATGATGATTTTTTAACCAAACATCCTCCCTTCAGTAGCTCCACAGCAGCTCTGTGGTTAATAGAAAGTAGAAACCCATCTCTGCGTGCAGCGACACCTACTGGGTGAAATGCATGGCTGCATCTTTGTAGTCAGCTGACCAGTTGACCCCAGGTTTGACTCCTTCTGGATCATTTTATGTTCCAATTACTTATTAAATCCAAGAGGTCATTGTCCCTCTCCCTACACTGTTCCTTGTTGTCGTAGTGACATCTTTGTCCAATTAAATCCGATAAGGGTGGCTTGGCTGTTCAGACTGCCGTCACATTCCTGCTTTGGCACAGATTGGATTTGAAAAAGTCGGATTTTATGACAGACTGACGGCAGTTACCTCAGGTTGGTCAAATTTTGTCTGCAGTGTTAAAGTAGATTTTGAAAGCAGCTCTGGATCCTTAGGAAACTTCAATAAGCCGACGCCATCCTATAAAGGCTGAATGAAAAAGCAAAGGAAAAGCTGAATCTGATCCATGTAAACTCCATAAAACCCAATATTCCAGCTCTCAGCCGTTCTCCTGAATATGCCACTTTCTCCCTCAGTCACTGGATGGCGCTAGAGTCCTCTGAATGGCAGAAGTTTACGATTAAAAACTGTTTTATGGAGGCGCTCTTGAAATTATCACATTAATCTTTGATACTAAGGTTTTGGTCTACAATAAATAATATGAAATGTCAATAAAATGCCATCAGCACTTAAAACCTAACGTGTTTCTATGTATCGCTTTAGAAGTTTAGTCTGGTGAGTAAATTAGTTATTTTTTCTTATTAAATATACCTTGTGATGATCAAATGTTTGTGCCCTTCACTATGAACACAAATCACTGTCACTAAAACTCTGTAGTCTTTAGGCTTCTTAAATTTAATTTTGTTCAGCTCTCAGAACATTTCCATCCATAAAGTGCAGCAGTGATCAAATGTTCATTGATCTGGAAGTTCAGAGCATTAATATACGGTGCAAATGTGCATTATGTTGGTTTGGTGTTATCATTCCAACAAAGGTTAAAAACAATCCACTGGACTTTGTTTCAGAGTTTGAAGACGTTTCTCTTCCAATCCAGGAAGATTTTTCTATTTAAAATGTCTGAAATAACGTTCAGTTCCAGGTTTTATAGAGTTCACTAAAACAAGGCTTTGTGGGGGGATCCTTGATGATGTCACGTGCTCGGGACACGCAGCCCTGGGATGAAATGTCTTTAATGGAGGGAAGAGGAGCCCCCATGATCCTCTCTGCTTTTAGGCTTTTGATTAGCTCTCTGCAGAGAGAACCCCCCCCCCCCCCCCCCCCCCCCCCCCCCACCACCACCACCACCATGGACTGTTCTCCCTGCTGCCCTCTGGGAAGAGGCTTCACAGCATTCAATGCAGGACCAGCAGGTTCTGCAGCAGCTTCTTCCCCACCGCCATCACACTGATGAACTGCTGAGAAAACTCTAAATCTCAGACTCTGCATCTCACTGATGACACCAAACCAAATACTGCAGATTTGCAGCATATATATTAATGCTGTGAAGTTCCACATCGATGTGTTTGCTGCATCATGTTTTTTTCCCCAAAGTTTACATTTGACACTGCTGCACTTTAAGGAATGGAAATGTTCTGGAAACTGTAAAAACTCAAATTTCATTTTGTATAAGCTTTGTGTAAACAGCTGACAAACTTTGATATAGAATTAAACATTCCAACCTTTAATGTTCGAGAAAGTAAATGATGCTCGTAGTAAATGAGCTTCCTTTATTTATTTATTTATTTATTTATTTATTTATTTATTTATTTATTTATTTATTTATTTATTTATTATCATTCATCGCCCAAACCTGCTACTAATGAAGCAGAAGCCTGATAATAATTGGTGACAGGAGTTCAGTGAGAGTGTAGTTTGCTGCTTATCTGGCCTCCAGATTTTATCAGCAGCGTATTTATTACACTGGATAAATACTCAGGTCTAACATTCACCTGTAATCATGCATCCTAACCTGGCTGGGCTCTAAGCTGTTGGTATTTTCTGTCTAGATTAACCAGTGGTGTGAGTCAGGGATCTACCTGCTGGCTTCCCAAGCGGTGGATAAGTGTCAGTCCCAGGAAGGGGCAGAATCAGCTTTAATAGACATCCAACACTTTTTGGAGTCGGCAGAAAAGAACCAAGCGACAGAACTGAGGAACCTTCACAACCAGTATGAGAGCGTCCTATCAGAGGATATAAAGGTGCGCCTCACAGAACAATAACGTTGGTAAACTCATGATTTAAAGAATATTTTTTTTGCCATTTCATTTTGAGATCGGTTTGCAGGGCAATGTGCTCAGGGCCCTCAAACGGCTGGAAGATGTTCAGGAGATGATTGAAAAGAGACAAGTAAGCCTTAAGAGGCTATCAGCAAAACAGACGAGACCCATTCAGCCAGTTGCTCCACGGCCGGAGTCATCTCCTAAACGTCCCACACAGAAGAACCCCAGCAGGACACCGGTGGGCCAGCAGGGTGAGTATCTGACTCAAACATTCAGCATTATGGCTGGAAACTTATACAGACTCACTTTTATTTCTACTGCTTCACTTCAGCGACCTGAGCTAATTAAAAACTATCGGAATTGTTGATTTTATTTTGTTATTATGATTTTATTTCAGCCTTGGCTCGGAAGCTGTCTGATAACTCCAACAGCAGCAAACTGCCGGCTGAAGCTGATCCCAACAAGAAGAAGAACATAAGGAGAACCAAGGGAGGCATAAAGGTACTTTGAACTCTCACTCTTATTTTCCAGCAAACTTTATGCTCCCCACATTAAAACAACACAGAGTTGGTGACCAACTTTAATTCAAATGAACTGAACTGTTGAATGAATCTTTACAGGGACCTGAGATGACTTTACAGAAAAAGTAACAGGAAACAGGAAACTAGGCAGACTAGTTGTAAGAAAGTTTTCATGAGTGGTCAGAAAATCCATTTACTATCACCTCCCTTCTCCTGTTAACTATGAGTGCTAATATTTATTTACTTACTCTTAAAAGTATTCGCTCTAGGTACAGGTCTTATCTTAGTGATGCCCAGGAAGCTGTTTTACAGTTTTAGATGTTATGGTAGGAGGCTAGACTGTCAAGGTTACATCAACAAATGCTTCAGTTTGTGAGAAACTGTCTATCCTGTCAGTGGAAATCTTTCCCTGTTCTTCTTCAGCAGTTGTGGAAAACCTGTGACCCGAACAGGCAGGAATATTGGCAGCAGGGTATCTGCTCTCCCTTGCAGTGTCGGAATAAAATGTTGCCAGAGTTCTGATGAAAATTAAAAAGAGAGATCATATCTCTCCTATCCTGGCTTCTCTTCATTGGCTTCCTGTTAAATCCAGAATAGAATTTAAAATCCTCCTTCTCACATATAAAGCCTTAAATGGCCAAGCTCCATCTGATATCAGAGATCTGATTGTTCCTTATGTTCCTAACAGAGCACTCCGCTCTCAATCTGCAGGTTTACTAGTGGTTCCTAGAATTTCTAAAAGTAGAATGGGAGGCAGATCTTTTAGTTATCAGGCTCCTCTCCTGTGGAACCAACTACCAGTTTTAGTCCGTGAGGCAGACACCCTGTCTACTTTTAAGGCTAGGCTTAAAACTTTCCTTTTTGATAAAGCTTCTAGTTAGAGTGGCTCAGGTTATCCTGATCTATCTCTATAGTTCTGCTGCTATAGGCTTAGACTGCTGGAGGACATAGGGACCCCTTTTTCATCATTCTGCTTCATTCTATCTCTATTCTCCCACTCTGCAGAATATGCTAGTTGAATCTCTAACGTTCTGCTCTCTCTGCTTTTTCTCATAGTAGCTTCATCTGGTCTGTTCCTGTTTGGCTGTGACTCCATCCTGGAGAGAAATATCAGCTGTGCTGCTGCCATCAACACCTTTGTTTCTAGAAGTTGGAGCTTGGCCTGTTTTCCAGTGTAGTCCTGTTTCTCTGACTGTGACTAACTGGATGTGCTCTCTTCATCCTCTGACATGGGAGCTGGCTCGGAGCTCGTCTGCCTGGCTGTGTGTTTCCTGGACAGGGGCCGCCTGTGGAGCTGGTTGACAGTTGCCTTTTGTATCTATGCTTCTTTTTCTATGTCTGCTTCTGTCTCCTTGAACCCCAGTGGGCCTCAGCAGATGGCCGCTCACACTGAGCCTGGTTCTGCTGGAGGTTTCTTCCTGTTCAAAGGGAGTTTTTCCTCTCCACTGTTGCTACAAGCATGCATAGTGTGAGGGATTGCTGAAGAGTCAATGAGTCGATGCAATCAGCTGGTTTTCCTTAGATAGAAAACTTTGTATCAATTTGACTGTATGATCTGGTTGAACTGGAAAGTGCCTTGAGATGACATGATGTGAATTGGAGCTATAGAAATAAACTGAACTGAATTAAATTTGAAATATCACATCCATGTCTTTCAAGGATGAAGTCACAGTCAAACATGAACAGAACAGCCTCACGGACTAAAACTGGTAGTTGGTTCCACAGGAGAGGAGCCTGAGAACTAAAAGATCTGCCTCCCATTCTACTTTTAGAAATTCTAGGAACCACTAGTAAACCTGCAGATTGAGAGCAAAGTGCTCTGATAGGGTTATAAAGCTCCTGTAACACCTTGACCATTTAGGCTGAAACACACTGGCAAACATCGGCATACGGCAGGTACTTTGATTATGCTGTATGCCCGCATTTTCCAGCGTCTGTCATCAGTTCCAGGTCAGTTATCTGATGGTCGACATCCGTTCAGTGTCGGTTCCTCATCAGTCGTGGCGTCTAGCTGATCCTAAACCTCTGAGTAACTTCAGCGTAACTTATCCAGAACTTCTCTCCAACATATCAGCGTCTCTGCCGTGTTCCAGACGAGCGCTGAACGTGTTTCTAACTTCCAGCTACTGTATAATGGCGTATTGGCAGCGTTTTGGTATAAAGGGGGTTCACAGGAGGAAACCGTCAGTTCTCCTCCAGACTTCATCCCCATCATAGGGTGAGCCATAAGGTGAGTGATGGATCCTCCCTGCGTTCACGCCCACCACCAACACACTTCCTAGCAGACATGACGCTCAATCTGCTGACACCAATATTGCCCCTAGTGGCTAAAAGTTACAAAATGTTGCATGAAAAAGATTTTCTGAGCTAAACTTCTAATATTTAACACTAGAAATCCTACAGATATGAGAATATTCATCAGTCTCCAGTCCCCCCAACAGTACTTCACAGCTCATGAATTCCTTCTCATATGTAAAATGCCCCATTAGCGCTGTGGCTCGAGAACCAGTCCACCACCTTCGGTTTTAGCTCAAGCCTCTCCATTAAAGAGGGATTTACCTGAGAGCACAGGGGGAAATAAATCACATTTATAATTAAATATAACTAGGTCTAGGTCATCAGTGTCGCTAAAACCGGAACGATTTCAGCGATCAGACGATAACTGATCTGCACAATGAAAATAGCTGCATGAGCTGGAACGCTGTAGAAAGCAACAATATTTATACCATGATCTGACCTATTTACTAGGGGGAAACTATGACTCAAGTCAGCTGCAGCGGAGCAGCGGAGAGAGCATTGTGAGACTGCAGTAAAGTTGGCAATATATTCACAGATTCAGCTTTTCCCAATTAATACCTAAAATAATTAAAATAATTATTTCTACAAAACATATACCTCTCCGCTACCACAGCAAGGCAGACGGTGAGCTACAACCGTAGTTTCCTCAAAACGAGTCTTCTATCACGCTGGGAGAATTTCATTGGACCCTATGGGGAGCTCACTGCTCCACAAATGCTCCGTCTGCAATTTGCAAAATAACCAGAGATAAATATTCAAAAGCGTCACCAAGGAGAGGTGGAAATTCATTTTATGTGTATCTCATCTTATGTCTTTCATATCACATTGATTGGATTCAAAAATAATACTTTTTTTGAGGAATTTACCAAAGCCTAAATAAATGGCACCTCTATTTTATTATTAGAATAAGTATAAAATGAGCAATGATTACACTATAGATCACTGTGGTGCCTCCAAACTTGTAGGATACATTGATAACCTCATCTAGTTCAAACTACTACTCTTACTTTGGGAAAAGGTGCAAAGCTCTATTTTTTTAAAATATTTTTTCATTGTTATTATAAGCAGGCCAGGTGTTCATTCTCTGCAACAGGAACCACAGCACTGAGCGCTGTGTGCACTGCACAAAGTATACCAGTCGCAAATGCAGGAAGGACTCACCTTGGGTTTGTAGAAACTGCTAAATTGTAGCTTCATATGTAGAGCTTTTCCTTGGTGAAATAAATGTTACTGCTATACTGAAATCAGACTGTTTTTCATTCTCTAAGCTGAAATGTTGAATGACATGAAAAGGCGAGAACAGACAAAATACAATTATTCTCTACATTTCTTTCACATGGTGAGCTTTGCAATATAAATGAGTCTGTTGATGAATGGACAATATAAACAGGCTCTGCCTTGCCGTGTTGGAAAAGCTGGTTATGACCTGTTCTCAGCTCAGGAACTAGGACCCGTATGATATCTGGTTGTTCAATAGGTTTAAATAAAAGATTTAGATCTGACTTATCAAGATATTCCTGCAGAACGGTCTGATGTTGCAGAGGAAGGTAATGAAAAGTGGAGCATGCTCTAGTTCTGATGCCAGTTAGTTTCAGCCTTTATCCAGTCTCATGTAGAAGGTCTGGTCACATCACAGGTTATTAGCATTACAACAAGGACAGTTAGCAAGGTAGAGTGAATACACTAACTCAAAAGGGGGGGAAGGGGGGGGGGTTAGGGACTTCTGGGACTTCTAGTGTCTAGTTAGTTTGATAGTCTGGAAAAAATAGGAAATGACAACAAATTTTCATGTCTTATGAAATAAAAACATCCTGTAATCCGTAGATATTCGTTTGTTTATTTTCACAGATTGAAGTGATGCATGAGGAGAGCCAAGGAGGTTCGACGCATGTTGTGGTTTCAAATGAGAGGGAGGAGACTCTGTCCAATAGACGCAGGTACCAACACTGATGACCCCCCCATGAAACAAACTCCCCACGTCTTTGAGAAAAACTTAATCTTGGTTGCTTATCTTTGGATTTACACAAATTATAAGATACTTTTTTGGTACTAAACGTTTGCTGCTCCTCAGTGTAAACTATGTTTACCCCTAATTCATAAAACCAAATTATTAAATATGTTACAAATTACCTCTTCGTCTCTTTATAGGAGAAAACTTTCTCACAAGGTCTTCAATCAATGTTTTGCTAAATATTTTTATGCAATATGCCCACTTCTAAGTGTCAGCCATGTCTGGGCTTCAACATTTGTTCAGGATCCTGAAAAATACAGGATAAAAACATGATGTAAGGCCATGACACTGAGCTGCACTTTACTAGGGTCGGATTCATTTATATAATGGATTTAGAAGGTCGTGTTGTGGTTATAGTGCAGAAAATAATGAACAGACTGGACTCCGTTTGCAGATTTGCATTAGCCCCCGTGCTAAGATGGGTCCCAAAATGTGGACATGGTGGCGGCTGCTGAGGTTTACTGAAAACTATGTTTTCTAAACCTGAAAACAGGGAAACTCAGAGTTTTCCTCATCTTCTGTTTATGTTACCATAGTAACATCCTCCCAGAGCTAACCTGGTCAGCAGCAGGTTCATGTGCCCTCTGCTGAGGTCGCTAAGGCCGTGCCCTCTGCTGAGGTTGCTAAGGCCGTGCCCTCTGCTGAGGTTGCTAAGGCCGTGCCCTCTGCTGAGGTTGCTAAGGCCGTGCCCTCTGCTGAGGTCGCTACGGGTCGCTATGGCCATGCCCTCTGCTGAGGTCGCTAAGGCCGTGCCCTCTGCTGAGGTCGCTAAGGCCGTGCCCTCTGCTGAGGTCGCTACGGGTCGCTATGGCCATGCCCTCTGCTGAGGTCGCTAAGGCCGTGCCCTCTGCTGAGGTCGCTAAGGCCGTGCCCTCTGCTGAGGTCGCTAAGGCCGTGCCCTCTGCTGAGGTCGCTAAGGCCGTGCCCTCTGCAGAGGTCGCTATGGCCGTGCCCTCTGCTGAGGTCGCTATGGCCGTGCCCTCTGCTGAGGTCGCTAAGGCCGTGCCCTCTGCTGAGGTCGCTAAGGCCGTGCCCTCTGCTGAGGTCGCTAAGGCCGTGCCCTCTGCTGAGGTCGCTAAGGCCGTGCCCTCTGCTGAGGTCGCTATGGCCCTGCCCTCTGCAGAGGTCGCTAAGGCCGTGCCCTCTGCTGAGGTCGCTATGGCCGTGCCCTCTGCTGAGGTCGCTATGGCCGTGCCCTCTGCAGAGGTCGCTATGGCCGTGCCCTCTGCTGAGGTCGCTAAGGCCGTGCCCTCTGCTGAGGTCGCTAAGGCCGTGCCCTCTGCTGAGGTCGCTAAGGCCGTGCCCTCTGCAGAGGTCGCTAAGGCCGAGCCCTCTGCTGAGGTCGCTATGGCCGTGCCCTCTGCTGAGGTCGCTAAGGCCGTGCCCTCTGCTGAGGTCGCTATGGCCCTGCCCTCTGCAGAGGTCGCTAAGGCCGTGCCCTCTGCTGAGGTCGCTAAGGCCGTGCCCTCTGCAGAGGTCGCTATGGCCGTGCCCTCTGCTGAGGTCGCTATGGCCGTGCCCTCTGAAGAGGTCGCTAAGGCCGTGCCCTCTGCTGAGGTCGCTATGGCCGTGCCCTCTGCAGAGGTCGCTATGGCCGTGCCCTCTGCTGAGGTCGCTATGGCCGTGCCCTCTGCTGAGGTCGCTAAGGCCGTGCCCTCTGCTGAGGTCGCTAAGGCCGTGCCCTCTGCTGAGGTCGCTAAGGCAGTGCCCTCTGCTGAGGTCGCTAAGGCAGTGCCCTCTGCTGAGGTCGCTAAGGCAGTGCCCTCTGCTGAGGTCGCTAAGGCAGTGCCCTCTGCTGAGGTCGCTATGGCAGTGCCCTCTGCTGAGGTCGCTATGGCAGTGCCCTCTGCTGAGGTCGCTATGGCCGTGCCCTCTGCTGAGGTCGCTATGGCCGTGCCCTCTGCAGATGTCGCTATGGCCGTGCCCTCTGCAGATGTCGCTAAGGCCGTGCCCTCTAGTCAGGTCGCTAAGGCCGTGCCCTCTGCAGAGGTCGCTAAGGCCGTGCCTTCTGCTGAGGTCGCTATGGCCGTGCCCTCTGCTGAGGTCGCTATGGCCGTGCCCTCTGCTGAGGTCGCTAAGGCCGTGCCCTCTGCTGAGGTCGCTATGGCCGTGCCCTCTGCTGAGGTCGCTATGGCCGTGCCCTCTGCAGAGGTCGCTAAGGCCGTGCCCTCTGCAGAGGTCGCTAAGGCCGTGCCCTCTGCTGAGGTCGCTAAGGCCGTGCCCTCTGAAGAGGTCGCTAAGGCCGTGCCCTCTGCTGAGGTCGCTAAGGCCGTGCCCTCTGCTGAGGTCGCTAAGGCCGTGCCCTCTGCTGAGGTCGCTAAGGCCGTGCCCTCTGCTGAGGTCGCTAAGGCCGTGCCCTCTGCAGAGGTCGCTATGGCCGTGCCTCTGCTGAGGTCGCTAAGGCCGTGCCCTCTGCTGAGGTCGCTAAGGCCGTGCCCTCTGCTGAGGTCGCTAAGGCCGTGCCCTCTGCTGAGGTCGCTAAGGCCGTGCCCTCTGCTGAGGTCGCTATGGCCGTGCCCTCTGCTGAGGTCGCTAAGGCCGTGCCCTCTGCTGAGGTCGCTATGGCCGTGCCCTCTGCTGAGGTCGCTAAGGCCGTGCCCTCTGAAGAGGTCGCTAAGACCGTGCCTCTGCTGAGGTCGCTAAGGCCGTGCCCTCTGCTGAGGTCGCTAAGGCCGTGCCCTCTGCTGAGGTCGCTAAGGCCGTGCCCTCTGCTGAGGTCGCTAAGGCCGTGCCCTCTGCTGAGGTCGCTATGGCCGTGCCCTCTGCTGAGGTCGCTATGGCCGTGCCCTCTGCAGAGGTCGCTATGGCCGTGCCCTCTGCAGAGGTCGCTATGGCCGTGCCCTCTGCTGAGGTCGCTAAGGCCGTGCCCTCTGCTGAGGTCGCTATGGCCGTGCCCTCTGCTGAGGTCGCTATGGCCGTGCCCTCTGCAGAGGTCGCTATGGCCGTGCCCTCTGCTGAGGTCGCTATGGCCGTGCCCTCTGCAGAGGTCGCTAAGGCCGTGCCCTCTGCTGAGGTCGCTAAGGCCGTGCCCTCTGCTGAGGTCGCTAAGGCCGTGCCCTCTGCTGAGGTCGCTATGGCCGTGCCCTCTGCAGATGTCGCTATGGCCGTGCCCTCTGCAGATGTCGCTAAGGCCGTGCCCTCTAGTCAGGTCGCTAAGGCCGTGCCTTCTGCTGAGGTCGCTATGGCCGTGCCCTCTGCTGAGGTCGCTATGGCCGTGCCCTCTGCTGAGGTCGCTAAGGCCGTGCCCTCTGCTGAGGTCGCTAAGGCCGTGCCCTCTGCTGAGGTCGCTATGGCCGTGCCCTCTGCTGAGGTCGCTAAGGCCGTGCCCTCTGCTGAGGTCGCTAAGGCCGTGCCCTCTGCTGAGGTCGCTATTGCCGTGCCCTCTGCTGAGGTCGCTATTGCCGTGCCCTCTGCTGAGGTCGCTAAGGCCGTGCCCTCTGCTTTTAGCACTGTCATTTCACCTTATAAAATATCTTTTAAATCATATGTTTCCACCAACAACGTTCTTCATTATAATTTTGGTGGTTCTTCTAATATTGGAAATAAATGACTGGTCTCCTGCTAATCGGTTTAATTGGGATTTTGTCCTCTGCTCTGCAGACACATCATGACTGAGCTGATTGAATCAGAACGGATTTATGTGGAGGAGTTGCACAGCATCATGGAGGTACGGTTTGCTTTCTGTCCTCTTCTCAATAAGATCAAAGGTTTGGATTACATCATCCATAGAGAATGTAAAGTTCATACCATAAACATTTCTGTTTGATTGTCTCAGTGCAGCATGACATCAGCTCTCATGACCTAATCTTCAGAAGTTTTGAGTGCATTACAATGCATGCAAACAGCCATTTACAAGTGCAGAAATCACTGGAGCCCAAACTGAGCGAATTCATGGATGGAGAAGCAGCAAATGTAAATACGTACGATCTAAATGGGTGAAAATTATTAATCAAATCCATTTTTATGATGGAACAGTTGACTCATAATTTACTTACCAATGGCTAAGGAGAACTGAACTGGAAACCAAGCTTTAGGTAGGAGGGGCAACAGAATGGATGAAGAAGGTTTTTTTTTGCAACTGCAGTGTTGTGGGTTCAAGCCCCAGCTCTGGTTTTCAATGTTGTTGTGTCCTTGAGCAAGTCACTTCTCCTGCATTGCCTACTGATGGTGGTCAGAGGGCCCGGTGGCACCATTGTACAGCAGCCTGATTTCTGCCAGTAGGCCCCAGGGCAGCTGTGGCTACCATGTAACTCACCACCATCAGTGTGTACGTGAATGACTGAATGTGGTGTAAAGTTCTCTGACTAGATAAAGAGCTATATAAGTTTAGGCCATTTACCATTTAGTTATTTGAGCACTGTCAGTGTTTGCTGAGAACCAGTGTTTCCTGTTTGAACTGCAAAGTGTACTTCGGAGGTCCAGAGTTAGGGATCTATGGGTTTTTATGTTTTTTATGGGATCTATGGGTAATTAAGATCCTTAATTTCCAAAATAGAAGACCCTGGTATGGGAGTAGGTCTATTCTCCCAAACTGTACTATTTCAGTGTGTTCAGGAGATGTTGTGCTTTGTAAATTGATAATGAGCCTGTCTGTGTGGGTCTCTGCACATCGTTACCAAAGGTAAGTAGTGTGCGTCTATTTAACCAGACTCTGCAGCATCTGTTTGCACTGTTTAGCCATATAGGCTGATTTATACTTCAAAACTAGGTCATCTGCGTAGGTGTCACAGTGAACAAAGAGACGCCCCCGCCCCCTTCCACAGACACTCTGCTGCACCTCTCCCAAATTGTAGGTGACCGCAGCCAGGAGGCCTCTGATTGGTCAATTCTACATCCACTTGTTTTGTTTGTATGACCGCAGTTGTAGAAAACTAATGGTGAAGATGGAGCAGCTAGAAGAGCGAGGTGCGTGAGAACGCTGCGACCCTTTTTCCACCTGGATCCCCGCTCTTTTTGGCCCTCATGTCCCTCCGTTGTTGGACAAACTTGCCCCCACTTCCTCACCACCTCGGCCGTATCTAGACCCACAGCTAGGTTCTGATTGGCCCTCTGGCATTGTGGCGTGGAATAACGTAGCGCAGACCACGCTTCAATATTGGGCATAAATCAAAAATATCTGTGACAGGCTCACTGAAACACACTGCTGCAGGAGGATAACCAGGCATTAAGACTCCATGGTAGAAAGGCTGGTCTCAGAAATTATAATAATTAATAATAATTTAACTTTATTAATCTCACACTGGAGAAATTCCCTCTCTGCACCTAACCCATCCCCTAGGGGAGCAGTGGGCTGCCATTGTACGGCGGCCAGGGAGCAGTGTGGGGTTAAGAGTCTTGCTCAGGGACCCAGAGTGGCAGTCTGTGAGAATCAAACCCGGTACTTGGAACCTTCTCAGAAAACACGTGCACTTCTCTAACTACTAAGCCACCACTCTCCAGCCAAATGTCCCAGTCTGGTAAACATGTAACTTAAACAATCAAAACTCTTCGGCATAAATGTGTCTTATTTGCCTACTTTGCTCCTTTATCTCTGAATCCTCCCACAGGGTTACGTAGCTGAACTGAATAATTCAGAGCTCAGCCACCTGATCCCCCCATCGCTGGAGAACAAGAAGGAGCAACTCTTTGGGAACCTGCCAGAAATATACGACTTTCACAACAAGTAGGTCATATTTTCTGATGCCTGCATAGTTGGCAGCTGGCCAACAGAGGGCACTAGGACGCCGCCCCACCCAACCGATGACCTTGATGTAGACCTTAAAAAAACAAATAAAATTTTAATTATAAAATAAAAGTTATTTGGAATAAATTAATATCTTTTTTAGGTGTGCAAGATAAATATTTAATCTTTAATAAGAAGTAAAGCTGTTTTGTTTGACGTTGGATTGGTGACGTATTTCCTCCCTGGGGCACAAAAATGTTTGGCCATAGACTCTCTTTAAAAGTTGTCCAGTGCAGCAGCTCCTGTTCAACGCTAAAGATAGGAGCATCCTGGGGAGCAGCTCTCCTGCACCCAGAGCTGACAGGGACTGTCGTCACAGTCGTAGTGCGGCTGACTGACCGGATGAGTTTCAGAAGTTGGAGATGATTGGCCGATAATGTTCCTTCAAGTACAGAGGAAAAACGAAACTACCGTAACAAAAAAATGTTAGGAAATCACCTGAAGCATGAGATTATCCAATTTGTTAAGTCAGGCAAAACAACCAGCAGGGAGAACAACACTGATGGAAACAGAGGAGAAAACAGAACATTTTAATTCTTTAGGTTAAAGGAATTTCCAAGAAAATCAGACGGATTTTCTCCGAACACAAAATATCGATGAATTTCAAACCCAACAATGCAGTCAGAAAGAAACTGGCTCATCCTAAAGACAGAACAAACAGAGGCCTCAGTGCTGCACCACATTTAATATCATCCTGCATTATCAGCCTCATGTCAATTATGACATTGGACAGATGTATATTTGCTAAATGCTTTTGAAATGCCACTGAAAGCATAAAGAAATATGCACAGCAGAGTAGCACAGAGGAACAAAAAACCCCAACAAGAGTCCACTTCCAATGAGTAGGTCTCATTGAGACTTTTAAATGAACCTCCTAACTCTCTATAAAACATCTATCCTGCCTCATTATCTTGTTAACAGCAATGAGAATATTTCACCAGGAAGATCCGAGCAATTAGAGCAACCACAATAGCAAGAATAATCAGGTAGCATGAGTCCATATTTAGTTTGACTGTGTTATTGGCAGGACATTCCTTATGGAGCTGGAGAACTGTGCGGAAAACCCAGAGCTGGTTGGAACCTGTTTTTTGAAGAGGGTGAGTAAGAAATCCATTTCTACCAGAGATATGTCCTGTATGGGAGATGTGCTCCAGAATCAGTGACAGCATTCACTGGCATCTAATGAGAGAATTGGAAATGTTCAAACTGAAAGACTAACCCTGTCAGTTTAGCCCCGCCCCCGATGCAAACACCCTGACAGCTTGTAGTGAAACTGTAGCTGCAAGAATTCTGCCGTGACACTGAAATCATCTCTCATTGAAAAAATGCTGCAGCTGAGGGTGACGCTATCATCACCAGTTTTCCCTTTTTTAGGGAGAATTTCTGTTTGAAGTTTCATTGCCAAACCTCACATTTGAATAAGCTGTCAGTGATTTAGCTCGATATGAATCAAGCACCTCCTCTCCTTCCTACAAATAGCACTACTTACAAGTACTACAGTATATTCCTTTTTCAAGGTCGATGAAAACAACTTTTTTTTCACCAGATAACAGAGCACAATCAAGGGCTGAAATTGTTTCTCAAAAGGGAGGGATGTGGCTCAAAAGTTGTTGTTTTTGTGGTGCATAGGTACACTTGCCTTTTTTTGTTTCTTTTTGTTGCCGTGACTTGTTTGCTGGTTTTCTCTAAACTCTCCCACATATCACTCTGCTTTCCCTGCCAACTCTTTCCCCCTCATTTAGGGGCGGCCTGTCAACACAAGATTCAGCTAAGAACAAAATGCAGTATGAAATATTAATGTATGTACAATTATTTATTCCAAATATTAAGAAATAATCGGATTATCATTATACCTTCCAAATTGACATTTGCTGAGGCTCAGAATGAAACACACTCAATATAAAAAGCATTGAATATCTAATTTAGATAAAGTGCAGCATGTGCTGCAATAGTCATTAAAAAAAGGTGGAGGCGGCGCTGCTGCATCTGTTTGGTGGGTTTTAGGGTTTTAGGTAAAGTGGACCAAAAATAAGGTGAAATTAAGGATCATATTTAATTCAGGTTAGTTGGACTCTGGTCATAAAACATGCTGCATCATTAAAGTGTTCATTCAACCATGTCTGTTTCCAGAAAGAAGAACTGCAGGTGTATGAGAAGTACTGTCAGAATAAACCGCGCTCTGAGGTTGTGTGGCGACAGTGTGGAGACAGTCCCTTCTTCCAGGTAAGTTATGCAGACATACATGCAAACATTAGAGAACTAGCTGGCCTCAGTATTCGATGGTCATTTACTGATAAACAGCCTTTGATCTTTGGGACAACAGGAATGCCAGAAGAAACTAGACCACAAGCTTTCCCTGGATGCCTACCTGCTGAAGCCCGTTCAAAGAATCACCAAATATCAGCTTCTGCTTAAGGTTCACACAGACACTCACAGTATGGCTGGCAACTGCAAGAACACTGCAGAAAAATAAATGATTTCTCTATTTTCTACATGGAATGATAAAATCACCATTTAGTGTCTAACTGAAAGGAAACAAGGAGCTGGCATCAGGAAATACCATGATGGTCACCGGTTTACCTCCCAAAGAGCGCTGATGGATGCTGCTGTAGAGGCTAAAGTTAAAGCCAAGCTTAATATTCGTCAGCTTGTATCGCCTAGAAAGAGCATTTTTACTGTGCCTCATAGCCAATGTGACCCGAGGCATGATGGGTGGGAATATGATCAGGATGAGGTTTGGTTTAGTTTTTAATATGGAGATTTACACAAATGTAATTTATAGTGTTTGCATTAAAAGTTTTGCAGAGTGGCTTTAAAAATGTTTCCAAAAATATCTGGGGAGAAACTGCAGGTCTGACCTCCTTAATATTTCTATGATTCTGAGAAAAGAATCACAGTAAAAATCCCAAAGGATTTGAAGTGAAAGTGATTAAAACTTCAAACTCAAACTGAATGAAATTATTAAAACAGCAGATGTGCAAAACAATATAATTTTGCTCTCTTTCTTCCTCTATAACAGGAAATGTTAAAATGCAGTAAAGATGAAGGGATAGCTGAGCTGGAGGAGGCGTTAGCTACCATGCTAGAGATCATCAAGTCTGTCAATGACTCCATGCACCAGATCGCCATCACTGGGTTTGAGGTAAGAAACAAACTATTAATGATGAATGGATGGATGGATGGATGGATGGATGGATGGATGGATGGATGGATGGATGGATGGATGGATGGATGGATGGATGATGGAGGGATGGATGGATGGATGATGGAGGGATGGATGGATGGATGGATGGATGGATGGATGGATGGATGATGGATGGATGATGGATGGATCCCCACAGATCTCTGCTCCCATCCATCCTGCTCTCCAACATTCACTCACTGAATAACCAAATGGTTAATCTCAGACTCCAACTGAGAAAAGGAGACCAGTAACCGCTGAGCCGACATCCTGACTGAATCATGGCTTCATTCATCCAATGCTGTTAGCCTGGGGGGGGGCTAACGCTACACCTTGCCCACAGAAACAGTGAACTCAGCGGTTGGGCCTGAGGTGGTGGACTCTACAGGGGCGACAGTGGCGTTGGATGTAGGAGTTTGCCCTGAAATCAAAGGGTTGACGGTTCAAGGCCCGGCTCCGACTTTCGGTGTCGTTGTGTCCTTGGGCAAGACCCTTCACCTGCATTGTCTGCTGATGGTGGTCAGAGGGCCCGGTGGCGCCAGTGTATGGCAGTCTCCTAACTTGAATAAAGGCGCTATATAAGTACATGCCATCTACCATTTACAGAAGCACCATAGAGAGCGTTCTGAGCAGCTGTCTCACTGTGTGGTGTGGAGGCTGCAGCGCCTCAGACTGGAAGAAGGTGAGAACAGCAGAGAGGATCATGGGGGCTCCTCTTCCCTCCATTAAAGACATTTCATCCCAGCGCTGCGTGTCCCGAGCCCGTGACATCATCAATGACCCCTCACCCCCCCACCATGGACTGTTCTCCCTGCTGCCCTCTGGGAAGAGGCTTCCCAGCATTCAATGCAGGACCAGCAGGTTCTGCAGCAGCTTCTTCTCCACCGCCATCACACTGATGAACTGATGAGAAAATCTGATCTAAATCTAAATCACGTCACAAATTAAGACTCTGTGTCACAATGATAACGCCATACTTGCACTTCATGGTGAATCTTCAAAATAGAGCTCAACTCAAATGTCTTTTACTAAATTTTGCACGATATCTATTTATTTTTTTCACTTCTCTGAACTTCCACATCATTGCCTTTTTGCACCATGTTTTTTCTCCCACACTGTTTAAATTCAATCACTGCTGCACTTTATAAATGGGAATGTTTATTTTCACCTCTAAGCTTCACTGTTGGAAAGCTGTATAAATGAAATTAAATTTTGTATACACTCTGTGTACACAAAACAACAATAAATTTAGTCTAACTCTAAGTCATTGTTATCATTATTAGGAAAATCTGTATGATGCTGTAGACCACAAGCAGCTGTTGTAAGTTTCTCTACTGGTCTGACTTCCTGCTCTGTGATGTTTCCAGGGGAACCTGAGTGAACTGGGGAAGCTGCTGATGCAGGGATCGTTTAATGTGTGGACTGACCATAAGAGAGGCCATAGTAAGGTACTCCCACCTTCACACCCCCACCTTAGAAAAGGACAGGAAACTGAATGTCTGTTCCTGACCTGCTTTATTTATTCATATTTTCTTCTATATTTTGGGAGGAAATGTTCATTTGTCCCATTAATATGTTTAATATCAGATAGACCTATAAAGGAGCAAAGCGATGCTGCGTTCATTTTCTCTCTGATCATTGGTTGGTTCAGCTTCACAAACCAGCCGTTTGGGAATCATTCCATACTTCAACTCTTCACTCTAGCTTTCAACCCTCTATCAGCTGTGACCCTCCATCAGCTGTGACCCTGCATCAGCTGTGACCCTCTATCTGCTGTGACCCTCTGTCAGCTGTGACCCTCTGTCAGCTGTGACCCTCTGTCAGCTGTGACCCTCCATCAGCTGTGACCCTCTGTCAGCTGTGACCCTCTATCTGCTGTGACCCTCTATCAGCTGTGACCCTCTATCAGCTGTGACCCTCTATCTGCTGTGACCCTCTATCAGCTGTGACCCTCCATCAGCTGTGACCCTGTGTCAGCTGTGAACCTCTATCTGCTGTGACCCTCTGTCAGCTGTGACCCTCCATCAGCTGTGACCCTCCATCAGCTGTGACCCTCTGTCAGCTGTGACCCTCTATCTGCTGTGACCCTCTATCAGCTGTGACCCAACAGCTGTGACCCTCTATCTGCTGTGACCCTCTATCTGCTGTGACCCTCTATCTGCTGTGACCCTCTATCTGCTGTGACCCTCTATCAGCTGTGACCCTCTATCTGCTCTGATCCTCCACCTGCGACCCCCTATCAGCTGTGACCCTCTATCAGCTGTGACCCTCTATCTGCTGTGACCCTCTATCAGCTGTGACCCTCTATCAGCTGTGACCCTCTATCAGCTGTGACCCTCTATCTGCTGTGACTCTCTATCTGCTGTGACCCTCTATCAGATGTGACTCTCTATCTGCTGTGACCCTCTATCTGCTGTGACTCTCTATCTGCTGTGGCCCTCTATCAGCTGTGACCCTCTATCTGCTGTGACTCTCCACCTGCTGTGACCCTCCACCTGCTGTGACCCTCTATCTGCTGTGACCCTCCACCTGCTGTGACCCTCTATCTGCTCTGATCCTCCACCTGCTGTGACCCTCTATCTGCTGTGACCCTCTATCTGCTGTGACCCTCCACCTGCTGTGACCCTCTATCTGCTCTGATCCTCCACCTGCTGTGACCCTCTATCTGCTGTGACCCTCTATCTGCTGTGACTCTCTATCTGCTGTGACCCTCTATCAGCTGTGACCCTCTATCAGCTGTGACCCTCTATCAGCCGTGACCCTCTATCTGCTGTGACCCTCTATCTGCTGTGACCCTCTATCAGCTGTGACCCTCTATCTGCTGTGACCCTCCACCTGCTGTGACCCTCTATCAGCTGTGACCCTCTATCTGCTGTGACCCTCTATCTGCTGTGACCCTCTATCAGCTGTGACCCTCCACCTGCTGTGACCCTCCACCTGCTGTGACCCTCCACCTGCTGTGACCCTTCACCTGCTGTGACCCTCAACCTGCTGTGATCCTCTGTCTGCTGTGACCCTCTGTCTGCTGTGACCCTCTATCAGCTGTGACCCTCTGTCTGCTGTGACCCTCTGTCTGCTGTGACCCTCTATCAGCTGTGACCCTCTATCTGCTGTGACCCTCTATCAGCTGTGACCCTCTATCAGCTGTGACCCTCTATCTGCTGTGACCCTCTATCTGCTCCCTCTATCTGCTGTGACCCTCCACCTGCTGTGACCCTCTGTCAGCTGTGACCCTCTGTCAGCTGTGACCCTCTATCTGCTGTGACCCTCTATCAGCTGTGACCCTCTATCAGCTGTGACCCTCTATCAGCTGTGACCCTCTATCTGCTGTGACCCTCTATCAGCTGTGACCCTCTATCAGCTGTGACCCTCTATCTGCTGTGACCCTCTATCAGCTGTGACCCTCTATCTGTTGTGACCCTCTGTCAGCTGTGACCCTCTATCTGCTGTGACCCTCTATCAGCTGTGACCCTCTATCTGCTGTGACCCTCTATCTGCTGTGACCCTCTATCAGCTGTGACCCTCTATCAGCTGTGACCCTCTATCAGCTGTGACCCTCTATCTGCTCTGATCCTCCACCTGCGACCCTCTATCAGCTGTGACCCTCTATCAGCTGTGACCCTCTATCAGCTGTGACCCTCTATCAGCTGTGACCCTCTATCTGCTGTGACCCTCTATCAGCTGTGACTCTCTATCTGCTGTGACCCTCTATCTGCTGTGACTCTCTATCTGCTGTGGCCCTCTATCAGCTGTGACCCTCTATCTGCTGTGACTCTCCACCTGCTGTGACCCTCCACCTGCTGTGACCCTCTATCTGCTGTGACCCTCTATCAGCTGTGACCCTCTATCAGCTGTGACCCTCTATCTGCTGTGACCCTCTATCTGCTGTGACCCTCCACCTGCTGTGACCCTCTATCTGCTCTGATCCTCCACCTGCTGTGACCCTCTATCTGCTGTGACCCTCTATCTGCTGGGACCCTCTATCAGCTGTGACCCTCTATCAGCTGTGACCCTCCACCTGCTGTGACCCTCCACCTGCTGTGACCCTCTGTCTGCTCTGATCCTCCACCTGCTGTAACCCTCTATCAGCTGTGACCCTCTATCAGCTGTGACCCTCTATCTGCTGTGACCCTCTATCTGCTGTGACCCTCTATCTGCTGTGACCCTCTATCAGCTGTGACCCTCTATCAGCTGTGACCCTCTATCTGCCATGACCCTCTATCTCCTGTGACCCTCTATCTCCTGTGACCCTCTATCAGCCGTGACCCTCTATCTGCCGTGACCCTCTATCTGCCGTGACCCTCTATCAGCTGTGACCCTCTATCTGCCGTGACCCTCTATTTGCTGTGACCCTCTATCTGCTGTGACCCTCTATCTGCTGTGACCCTCTATTTGCTGTGACCCTCTATCAGCTGTGACTCTCTATCAGCTGTGACCCTCTATCTGCTGTGACCCTCTATCAGCTGTGACCCTCTATCAGCTGTGACCCTCCACCTGCTGTGACCCTCTATTTGCTGTGACCCTCTATCAGCTGTGACTCTCTATCAGCTGTGACCCTCTATCTGCTGTGACCCTCTATCAGCCGTGACCCTCTATCTGCTGTGACCCTCTATCTGCTGTGACCCTCTATCTGCTGTGACCCTCTATCAGCTGTGACCCTCTATCAGCTGTGACCCTCTATCTGCTGTGACCCTCTCCTTGCTGTGACCCTCTCCTTGCTGTGACCCTCCACCTGCTGTGACCCTCCACCTGCTGTGACCCTCTATCTGCTGTGACCCTCTATCTGCTGTGACCCTCCACCTGCTGTGACCCTCCACCTGCTGTGACCCTCTATCAGCCGTGACCCTCTATCAGCTGTGACTCTCTATCAGCTGTGACCCTCTATCAGCTGTGACCCTCTGTCTGCTGTGACCCTCTATCTGCTGTGACCCTCTATCTGCTGTGACCCTCTATCTGCTGTGACCCTCTATCAGCTGTGACCCTCCACCTGCTGTGACCCTCCACCTGCTGTGACCCTCTATCAGCTGTGACCCTCTATCAGCTGTGACCCTCTATCAGCTGTGACCCTCTATCTGCTGTGACCCTCCACCTGCTGTGACCCTCTATCAGCTGTGACCCTCTATCAGCTGTGACCCTCTATCTGCTGTGACCCTCTATCTGCTGTGACCCTCTATCAGCTGTGACCCTCCACCTGCTGTGACCCTCCACCTGCTGTGACCCTCCACCTGCTGTGACCCTTCACCTGCTGTGACCCTCAACCTGCTGTGATCCTCTGTCTGCTGTGACCCTCTGTCTGCTGTGACCCTCTATCAGCTGTGACCCTCTGTCTGCTGTGACCCTCTGTCTGCTGTGACCCTCTATCAGCTGTGACCCTCTATCTGCTGTGACCCTCTATCAGCTGTGACCCTCTATCAGCTGTGACCCTCTATCTGCTCCCTCTATCTGCTGTGACCCTCCACCTGCTGTGACCCTCTGTCAGCTGTGACCCTCTATCAGCTGTGACCCTCTATCTGCTGTGACCCTCTATCAGCTGTGACCCTCTATCAGCTGTGACCCTCTATCTGCTGTGACCCTCTATCAGCTGTGACCCTCTATCAGCTGTGACCCTCTATCTGCTGTGACCCTCTATCAGCTGTGACCCTCTATCTGCTGTGACCCTCTATCAGCTGTGACCCTCTATCAGCTGTGACCCTCTATCTGCTGTGACCCTCTATCTGCTCCCTCTATCTGCTGTGACCCTCTATCTGCTGTGACCCTCTATCAGCTGTGACCCTCTATCAGCTGTGACCCTCTATCTGCTGTGACCCTCTATCAGCTGTGACCCTCTATCAGCTGTGACCCTCTATCTGCTGTGACCCTCTATCAGCTGTGACCCTCTATCAGCTGTGACCCTCTATCTGCTGTGACCCTCTATCAGCTGTGACCCTCTATCTGTTGTGACCCTCTGTCAGCTGTGACCCTCTATCTGCTGTGACCCTCTATCTGCTGTGACCCTCTATCAGCTGTGACCCTCTATCAGCTGTGACCCTCTATCTGCTCTGATCCTCCACCTGCTGTGACCCTCTATCTGTTGTGACCCTCTGTCAGCTGTGACCCTCTATCTGCTGTGACCCTCTATCAGCTGTGACCCTCTATCTGCTGTGACCCTCTATCTGCTGTGACCCTCTATCAGCTGTGACCCTCTATCAGCTGTGACCCTCTATCTGCTCTGATCCTCCACCTGCGACCCTCTATCAGCTGTGACCCTCTATCAGCTGTGACCCTCTATCTGCTGTGACCCTCTATCAGCTGTGACCCTCTATCAGCTGTGACCCTCTATCAGCTGTGACCCTCTATCTGCTGTGACTCTCTATCTGCTGTGACCCTCTATCAGCTGTGACTCTCTATCTGCTGTGACCCTCTATCTGCTGTGACTCTCTATCTGCTGTGGCCCTCTATCAGCTGTGAC